AACTGTGAGATCATGACCTGAGCTGAAATCAGATGCTCAACCGATTGAGCCACCCAGGCACCCCAAGTCCTGTCACCTGTTCTATTCTAACCCAACCTTGGCTTCTGCCATTGCTCTTAAAGGTAGGTGGTGGCACTTTAACTGCCAAATCCAGTAGCCATTTCTAGATCCAGTCCTCAAGGACTCGAGCCTCTCTGTGCCCTCGGGCCGGTCCCCAGCCTTCCCGGGACTCCCAGGCTGCATGTGGGGTCCGCCCAAGGCTCCCCGTTCCCCTCTCGTCCTCTGTGACCAGACTCACTGCGGCACGAGCTCCCAAATTTACACATGTGATCTCAACTTTGTAATTCTTTTCATCACTCCTCTTGGAAAGGGGACTCAAATCTACAACTTGGAGACATCTTCCTGAGAATGTTTTGGTGGAACTTCAAATGACTCACCTTCAACTTCTCTCCTGACGCGTTCTTGCTACAACATAAACTCCTCTGATTCTGTGCTTCTAAGCCTTATAGAACCCCCATGCCTCCCTGTCCATTCTCGGGAGGCACATGTGCCTTCTATTCCTTCTGCTGCACGGGGTTTAGGTGTGCCTACCTCAGTCCTAAAGCGCGGCACAGCCTCCGTCACCTGCCCTCATCACCTGCCCTGTCTCGGACAAGGGTCACTGTCGGTCACTGACGCCCCTGCCCCTGGCAATGCTCAGGGAGAGCCCAGCTAGTCACCCTCTAGGGGGAGTTCCCTCCCCCTCCCCTCGGTGCCCCTGGCTCACGTCACTCTCCCGCTCCACAAAGTTCAGTGGCTCCCCCCCACCGCCAAGAAGAAAACCCAAACCTTACAGTCTGGCCTGCAAACCGTCCTGTTTCAAAGTCTCCTCCTCTAGGTAGGAGCGGTTCTCACTTATTCAGAAACACTGGAGTTTGTGGATCAAAGTTGCAACAACTCAAATGCGTGAAGTTTGAAAGTAGTGTTTCAAGCGTATCACTCTGGCTCAAACTGAAGGAAGCTCAAGGGGAGACATCCAGGGGACGGGTGCACTGCCCGGTCCTCCCCCAAGCTCTGTGTCTGCCTCAGGGTGAACACACATGGCGCGGACCGTCCCCGGAAGACAAATCACGGCATACTTAGTTTCATGGGGGCCAATTTATAACAAAAACAGGAACATAATTATAATCTAGAAATAACAGATTTTAAGAGCTCATTTAACACCGCTTCATAACTTGTTCTCATTTGGAAGAATCCAAATTAAAAGACTGTTGCATTGGGATTTTAATTTTTGACCACTCACTCTCATTAGAAGGTCAGCGGTACAAGTATAATTTTGCAAGTAATGAAACATTTATGGGTCCTAAATTACAACAATGAAGAAAATAACCCAGTCGTGAATTATGATGGCATCAATTACCTGGAGCCCAGCTCTCTGCGAGCGAGACACTGCCTTAGCCTTGGCTTTCCCGCTGTCCTTTCCGGCTTTCCCTCCAGCCTAAATGAAAGAGAAAAGA